CCCGATTGTCACCTCTTGCGAGAATTTCGGCCTCGTTAAATTTGAACGTGTGGCTGGGTCTCGTCGAATGAGCCGCAACTTGAGAGTTGGTATTATTTCGCCGCACTGCTGCACTTCATTGAAACTTGCTTCAACATATCGCCCTCTCACGCCGTTGGACGATGGCTTCTGATTTTCTGCACTTCAATATTGCTGTCTACTTTCATTACTGCATGTGTCTTAGGAACATAATAACTTTCAGAGGTGTCCAGGTTATTACGGTAGACCAGTCGATGTTTCTCAAAGACTACTGGCGCTAGCATCGCCAGTCCCTATGTAGCATTTCATGCAGTTCTGAATCATTCTGGAAATCATAATGTTTGCAGTGTGTTGTAAAATGTTATGCTTTACTTTTACTACAGTCTTCGGTATGAACAGACTGCCTAGTACATGAAAAGGTGTCAACGGAACGTCATCTTTCCTCCTTCAATACAATTTTTCCTCATTTTCGTCCCTCTTACCTTCAGACGTGGACATTCGTCGTCTCACTACTGAGGTCGTTTCCCCGTCGGGTCGTGTTCTACCTTGCGACATTGTTTCTGTCAACGAAGGGCAGTTCACGATACGTTTTGTGCCCCAGGAGGTCGGTGTGCACTTGGTCAACGTCCTCGAGCGAGGCGTACACATACCGAGTAAGTTTTCACCCCCCCCACAGCCCCGTTTGTGACGTGATCTTTCCCCCGTTACGTTCTTCGCAGTACTGCCTGACCTTTGGACTTTGTGTGCTTGTGAGTGCATATATTTATGTTTGTTCTTGGTCTAGTTATCAGGGCAATTTCATCCAACTTTCGGCGTAAGTTAATTGGCCTTCCCCAAACAAAGCTGACTTGTGGTAAATGCTTCTCTGTGTGTGTGTGTTTTACTTTTTTTCCAAACGTGTCAGCGCTGCGGCGAAATGAGTGTTCATTTCTGCGTTAGGACTTATTTGCATAGGCCTATCCTTCAACCGCGTGCACACACGACCGCTCTCTCCAAGTAGTTTACCTGTTTAAGAAAGTGGTTGAACGCCTCAAGAGTCAGCACTTGCGCTCGCCCCTATTTATGTAGGCAGTATCTGCAGGCGATGAACTCGGGACTTACTCACTCACCCCCCTTCCACACGCGACCCGTTTAAATGACACACACACACACACACACACACACACACACACACGCACTGTTATGTTGGACCTGTGCAAACACACTTACAAAACTTTGTGTTGCAACACCGTCCCTGTCAAACTGAATTGCGTTAAGACCTGGTCGTTGTTTGAGGTTGGTTCTCAGGGATCTGGAACGCTTGCGCTGCGCAGGCCAGGTTACTTGATTAATTCATGCACCATGCTCCGAATTGATTAGTCACTTCGTTACTTGGGCACCCGTGAGCCGTGAAAGTATACAAGCCTCTTGGTAGGAGACAACATAGAATAAGCCTTTTTTGTTCTACTTTCATTTCACTTGGTCTATCTGAGGAAATGTTAACTTACTATTTGTTGAACCCTATTTGCCCTATGAAGCTTTGTCGATATCAGGTCTCGTTCAGAAAGCTTTTGTTAGCTAACCTCGTACACGTTTTCTACATCCCACTTTACCCTGTTTTTCTTCTCTGGACTTGTCGCCTCTGATTTGTGCTGATAAGACGAATTCCAGCCGTTGCATTTAGATAAACCACAGGCGACTTTTCGAGGGGGAAATGTATCGCACACTAAGTCGTTATTCATCCTGAAGTCGAGTGTCGAAATTAGCAAGGTTATATTGGGCTTCAGCATAACGGAATGATTACATTTGTCCGCCTTAACCAACGGCATAGCGCAGCGAACTCAATCGAGACGCCTCATATCAAATGTAGTCATTTATATTCTGTTCTGGTCTGACGGAATTTCATTGAATCACATTATCGCGCTGTTTATAGACGGAGTGATAGGACACTCGGGCGCAGATTTAGATGGGAACCTATTTACCCTCCCCAGGGATCGACTGTCGCTGAACCTGCGTGTAGCAGTTTGACCCCTGGGGTTGTAGTGCATCTTAATGCTGCAGACAGAGCACAAACCATATCTGTTAGTAGATTTCCACTACATGCTTTTTTGATTTTGAAACCTTTTCTTTTGTTCTTTCCATGTTGCACTGTTCTGTTCCGAGACCACACATACACACACCCACCTTCAGGTCTCTGGCTTGCACAGGCTCCAGTTTTGGTTCTTAGCGTATAATCCACTACAGACTGTAGTTTCGTGTCTCTCATTGTTATCCCGGCACCTTTCACCTGCTGAAACCAGCTGTATCTGTGCCACAACTCTACCGCCGTCGCCTCATTTTTGGAACGATTTCACTCATGAACAGTGCTCTGGCTGTCCTCATACTCTATTTTGCTCTTTTTTTCAGACAGCCCATTCCAATTCACTGTGGGTCAACCGGCCGATGGCGGCGCAAGCAAGGTTCGCGTGTCGGGCCGCGGCCTAGAGTACGGCGTGGTGGATGAACGCAACGAATTTTCCATCTATACCCGCGAGGCTGGCGCTGGCAGTTTGTCCATCGCCATTGAGGGCCCCAGCAAAGCAGAAATTTTCTTCGAGGTAACAAAAAACAGTAATGGTGCTTTAAATCCGCTGAGAGACCCTGCAGTCAGTCAGTCCGTCTGACTGACTGATGACAGTATCACAACCTAAATTGCCGGGCACTGTCCGTTGCCAGGGCTAGCTTGTCCTCACCGCACATCTCCTCCAACCCGTGTGCAGTGTTTGCCGGATCTAAAGGCACGCATTTGCATAACTCTGAATGGCGCCTAGAGTTGAGCCTATGCTGTTGTTGCTGTGCAGCTCGGGAATGATTGTGGAGTGGGCATGTAGCCTAGGCGCTATTTTATGTCTTAGTTCACTGTTCCTTGCTTCATGTATTTTGGCAAACTATCCAGTCGACAAACCCCTAAGTAGTCAAGCTCCGCCAAATGGAAGAATAAGACTGTAGTGCTTCTAGTTAAGTGAATGTCTGTTCTACTTCGAGAATTCTGAGTACTCACCTGCATCTGGGTAGACTCTACTCTCACTTTACTAGCAGACGGGAGAAGAACAGCGGACCTCGCCAAAGAACTCACCAGAACCGTCAGTGTGTCTAATTTTAGATGCTTAGAGGCAAGCGTATGGATTGCATTGTTTGAGAGGTCACCTACTATACTGACAGTAGTATGTACCAACACGTCCTCTACGCACTTCAGTTGATCACGTGTTGTGATAAAGGGGATGAGGCACAATTACTTTCCTGTCTTAAACTTCCGCCGTCTCGTGTGTCCTGCAGTATTGATGAGCGGTTAACGTGAGAATGGACTAGGAATCAGCACTAAATATCGCATGTTTGGGAAGTATTTAAACATCCTCTGAGTGCATTCTTGGACGAAAATGTCCAGACGCGAGGCAAGCGACCCTACCTTTGCTGACAGTTGTGCACGCATATGCAGCACATCCTCGATCTTTGGGCCTCCAGATGCACCAACTTCGGACTAAATATTAGCCCGAATGAAACGATTGTTACACTTAGTCCAACATCCATCCGCACTCCGTTAGCACCATCGGAACTTCAGTAGCGGATAGTTCTGCAGGAATTCTAATATTAAAATCAGGGAATATCAATTTAGCCTTACACATAATGGCGGTTGTTTAAGTACTTTATAATTTTTATAATGCAGTTTTATGTTTATAAGAGCGATTTTTATGCACATTGTTCTCTCTGTAGGATCAGCGCGACGGTTCCTGTGTCGTCTATTATCGCGTCCGCAAGCCAGGTGAATACGTTTGTTCCATCAAGTTCCGGGACGAGCACATTCCTTTCTCACCATTCACCATCTACGTATCGGACCCCAAGGAGGCTGGAAAGGTGTCCGCATACGAAATACCTGTTCAGTACGCCCCACCCGGCACTGTGCCGGCCAAGGAGGATGTAGAGGTAAGAAAAAAGTTTTTTCTTTCTGAGAATGGTACTCGATCGCTGGTACAAGAATCTGTTTAAACTGACCTTTTGGAATCATCTGTCAGTATCATTCATATTTCGACGATCGAGTTCCTCTTAACTGCTTTATAAAACTCATTTTTCCACCGTTTTCCGTGACTTTTTTCCATAAACTAAAAATGGCATTTTGTAATATCTAGAAGCCCGTTGAACGGTACTTTAACCGATTTCCACAAAGAGGGTCATGTATTGAGACAGAAGGTTTTCTATTCTGCAAATTAACGACAGTTTTCAGAATAAGACAATTCCTCGAATGCAACTTACCACTCCCGTCAAAGCTGTCCTTTCTATCGTATCTTTAGTTTCTATTGTGTTAAATCTGTCGTGGTGAACATAGTCTATGTCACAATCAAAGAGCACAGTTTTTTGTTTTCCGTTGTTCAAGGTGAATCGGCTAGAGTACACTAGACATTTTCAGCGATATATCGTCCAGGCTCTATGGTCTGATGACAAGTAATCGCACTCTTCTTTACTCTCAAGTTCTCAGATTAGCACAAATCCGCATTTTCCTTCAAAACCACAGATTTTTTTACCTGAGTCCTGATATCAAATGTATAACCGATCAATGCAGTTAAATATAACAAAAAAATAAAATAGTCATGTTCTTGCGCAAATTAAAAAAGTGTCTAAGGGTGAGTGACGGGAGTAATTGTAACTTGTTTCGAAATTCGCCTAAGTGGCTTTATAGATCTTTTACACGTCTACATTGTGGTTTTATTAGGCTACGCCTATATGAATGACTGCGCTTTCACTGTCGACAGACTCTTTTCGATCACAAATACATTGCTCTGAAAGTAGCTCAATCTAGCATTCTAAGAGCCTACAGGGAGTCAATAAATTCACTCCGCCGGAAATGAAGGTAGATGTGATGGTGAGAGTAAATCAGGAAGTCTATGTCGCACCCGAGTACTTTATGGCTGTTAATAACTCAGGGCAACCTACCGCACTGAACTCCCAAAATCAAGGTTTAACCCGTTAGCGGCTGTTTAAAGTCCTAGTCTCCATTTCACTTCGTCTACCTTTCCAGCATACTTGACGAAAAGTATTTTCGTCACCAATCTCCCATACCCTTTATCTTTCCTTTGCTCAGATTGGACGCCCCGTCTTCTTTACGGTGCACTGCTTGGAGTCGAAACAAGTGCTTTTCGCCACCGTGGAGACACCTTCAAAGAAACAGGAGGAGGCCACTGTCCACCGTTTGGATGGCGATCAGTATGTTGTGCGGTTCGTGCCCCACGAGAGCGGCACACACCTTATCTCGGTCTATGTGGTGCCCGAATCGGAGAGTCACTTGGGTATCAATGCGCCTAATC